TCTCTCTCTCTCTCTCTCTCTCTCTCTCTCTCTCTCTCTCTCTCTCTCTCTCTCTCTCTCTCTCTCTCTCTCTCTCTATCTCTCTCTCTCTCTCTCTCTCTCTCTCTCTCTCTCTCTCTCTCTCTCTCTCTCTCTCTCTCTCTCTCTCTCTCTCTCTCTCTCTCTCTCTCTCTCTCTCTCTCTCTCCCTCTTGCCTCTGTTTCCTCCCACCTTCTCGCCCCTGTAAGTCATTCACCTCCGCCTATTTTTCACTGCGACTGCCGCTGCTGTTGCTGTCGCTCGTGCAGATCCTGAGCACTACCCCTGCCGACTTTGTCTCGTTCGCGGAACGTCTAGAAGAGGCTCTCCTGTCCGAACAGGGGCAACACGTTGCTGTCGTTGGCTCTGAGGATGCATGCAACGAGGCGGAAAAGAGCGATCCAAGCCTCAGCCTCAAGGTTATCGACGTCTTCAACGAGAATGCCAGCAAAACAAATTCCCGCGGCATGCAAAACGACACTCAAGTCATTAGCGCTTGACGTGAAGCATCCCCTGCACACGAGATGCAAGTGTAGTCTGTCATGGACTCGCTGCAAAGGGCGTGTTCGCTACCGCCTCCGCGTACAGTGTCTGTTGCCTTGGCAAAAGTGGTAGTTCATGTTTGCTTGGTGTACGTGTCGAGACTTGGCATTGCCCGAACTCCTTCCCAAATTGGTTTCTGCACTTTTCTCACCTAATCCAGGATTATGCTCGTTCCTCTATAGACCTTTTCTTCCCCTCCCTTTTCTTCTGCCGACGTGTCGGCGGCTTTCGTTACGACACGCCCCTCTCTAGAGGCTTCCTTGGGCTCTTGGATGCCTCGCTGAGAAGGCGTTATGGATGCGAAAGTAGCAGGGAGGGAGGGGCAGTAATGCGGGGGCCAAATTTTTGGCAGCCACTCGCGTCAACTCGGAAAGTTACTCATTAGAAAAGTGTTACAGGGTAAAGCAACCAACGCCTGGGGGGATGGGGGGGGGGTTGCTGACAATTATGCGAGCGCGAGCTCCTGGCACACAGCCCTCAAGTCGAGCTCTATATATACCTATATATTATGTATATAAAACACACATTTATGCATATTCAGGTATACCTAAATATACGAAACGTCACTTCAAGAGCCCAAACATGTAGAAGGGGCTGGTTCGACTGGGCCACACTGGTGCAGCCCTTTCATTGGATGATGAGCTACCCTGCGCTAGATTTAAATACAGATGTACGGCTTTTTTCGGGGATTTCGAGCTCTCCATGTAAATCTAAAGAAGCCTTCGCATCCATTCACTCTAAGAACCACGCGGGAACCCGAAATATGCTGGCAGCGATGCTCCAAAACATGATTTCAAGTACGAGTCTATCGATCACTGAAGGAAGTTAGCTAGCCTCTTGAAGCCACCACGGCACCTCTCTGGAGAGCAGAAAGGAACGGAGAAAGGCGTATACTGTGCCCCTTGTGCGTCGCCTCTCCCTCCCCTGTGTGTTTTGTAAACTCGCTCAAGGCTAGGCCATGCCAGCAGTAAATCCGTGCCTGCCACGAGTTTACTGCTCTGCCCTGCTGCCTAAACATGAGACCCCCTCCCTTTGCACGTGTCCCTCTTGCAGCAGTCTGCCTGCCTGCCTGTCTGTCTCTCTGCCCGTCTGTCTGTCTGTACACCTGGGAGTAGGCTGACCCCACCCGCTGTCGTAAAAGCTCGCTGTCTACCGCCACGTGAGCGGCCTACTAACAATGTCAAGCAGAACACGCCCTCCCTTCCTCAATTTCCCTTCCCCCCCGCTATGACGACGCAAAGGACATGCTCCAACAGCCTTGCTGCCACTTCAGATGGAGGCACATATACACAACTGCCGCGCGCGAAGAAAGCAGGAGGAGCACGCATGCATGCATGCGAACAAGGTGCAGACGGAGAAGCGGATGTGGGGTCCACGATGGTGCTGAGCGCACTTATCTCTCTCTCTCTCTCCAGAAAGATCCCCTTTCCACTCCCCGCCTTCTCCCCTTCGGCGTTCACCCTCGTGCAATATCTCGCCTGGCATAGCGAGGCAGACTAGCGTCTCTGCAAGGCAGGCTCATCGCCTCTCCCCCTCACTTGTAGTACAGCCACGCAACGAAAAGGCCACCCCACATTAGAACCTGACTCCAGTTGATATCGAAGCGTGCTCGCTGCTTTTCGAGAGCCTTGTCCTCCTGCTCTGTCCGACGGTACTGTGCACAGCGCCATACCAAGACCCCCAAAAAATCACAACCCCACCCCTGCAACACACTCACCTCCATGCGCTATTCAGCTCGCATCATCTCTATGCACCACCCGCCTCGAACGTCGCTCCAACCCCCCAACCGAAGCACACACGCATGCACACCCTACTCCAACAATCGAACTACCCCACGCCTCAACGCGACCCCCTTCCCCCCCGCCTTTAACGGTAAATCAACAGCTAAATCCCTTACCTGCTCCTCGATGACTCTCTTGAAGTGCTCGCGCTGCTCCTCCGTTAGGCGCGCCGTAAAATTTTCCAACTCCGACAGATTTGGATTGTAAGGAGGCGCTGGAGCAGCGGTAGAAGGAAGGGTGGAAGCAGCCTGCTGGCTGCCGATATCTACCCCTGCGAGCCAAGCAAACATATGTATATATATATGTACATATATATATGTCTACACTCACATTCACGCACGTACATATACAAAGCCGTCGTCTCTGGCGAAGAAGAGAGGTGCTGCAAACAGCTACGCGCAGACAGACGGCAAAGCCGCCATACGATACAAGCCACGCAGAAACGGCCCCCACGAAAAAACACGGCAATCTTCGAATACTGAGTGCGTGCAGCTGCAAAAAGGAGCAGGCGGCAGCCCAAGACTTGGGTGATTAGACTGCTAAAAATTGATGACTGCTTGACGCGCGAGTCTTCTAGTACCTGCAGCCTTGGCACGAACGGCGGCAGATTGCAGCGTTTGCTGCTGCTGGCCCATGGCTTTAAGAGCCGCCACGGAAGGCGTGCCCATAGTCTTCAGGAAGGCTGAAAACACAGGCACCGAGGCTGTTTCGTTTTTTATGTACAGTATCCGCGCACGCATGTCTACGCCGCCACACAGGCGGACTGATGAAGCCTCGCGGAGGCACGCCACGCGCTCTCCACGAAGAGAAAGCGACACGCACGAAAGCTGTTTGCAGAGGAGAGAAGAAAGAAGCATGCGGCGTCCCCTCCCCCCCAAACCATTCGCGAAAAAGAACTTGGCGGAAGACAATGTAGCAAATTGCGAACTCCCTCCACAAGCTCCCAGCCCTCTCTCCCTTGCTGCACAAAAAATGCTGCACGCGTCCAAACAAGTTGGCAAGAGCACCCCGCACGTGCAGCCGCCAAGAGGCATCAACCCCCAGTGGCTTACAGGTGGCTCGAATAAGCTCTTGAGTGCGCTCAGTAAGAACGCGATTTGTTGATAAGAGGGCCTTTAAGACTGCCCAGTGGCGTGCAGGAACGTCACAAAACTGCCACGCCGCGAGGCAGAGACTACCAACGAGAACAAACGGGAAGAGAGCCCTGAAAAACTGACAATACAGCGCAGCCGCACAGACAGGCGCACCATGAAGTCGCCGAAAACGAGACACACACACCCCCGTTTTCGGAAGAATCCGAGTTCAAAGCAGCCAACAAGGCTTTTGACAAACTTTCTTAGCGGGAAAAACCGCGAGGCTACAATAGGAGGGCCACCACAATGACGCATGCAGAAAAGGGGCACGACCATTGCAAGAAGACGCCGCGAAACAGCGGAGTTCATGAACGAAATATGAAAAATAATCTAGAAACACACTGGGGGAAGAACTTAACGCAAGGAAACCAACCCACACTTACGTATGTGACGTATCTGTCTCTATGTGTAAATATGTATGTCTATGTACATATATGTATATATATATACATGTGTATGTATATCTAGGTAAATATATGTATGCACAGACATATTTACAGACAAAAGTCTCTCTGTGCGAGGGTCGTTGAATTAGTACCAAGATTTTTTCGAAGGGAAGGAGCTCTGAAACAAACGGCAGGAAGTTCAGTGAGTCGTCATCTTCGACAAAACGCTGCTGCAGCTCTACGCAAAAGACGGCGATACTATACACGAAAAATATCTATGCCACACACAAACACACATACATACATACACAAATCGGAAAAGCTCCTGCCTCTCTAGAGCGATGATGATTAAAGCAAGGCGCAAGGTCTAGGTGGCCTATGACAAGATTTTAATAGAACTGTGAGGAGGAAATGCAAACGCGCACCTATGAGAACGAGCAAACAGAACGTGCAGAGGCAACGCAAGCCAGGAACAGGAAAATAGCGACTGGGGGAGGAGGTGGAAGAGAGAATCGGCTCGACGGCAATGAAAGACACAGCGAGCAACGACGAGGAGGATCAGACATAAAAAACAAGGCAAGGGCACGAAACGATGAAGGAACATCGGCATGCGCATGCATACAAAGTAACACTATTGCAGCTGCACACCGAGTTCAACAGAGACAGCCGTTTACGTGTATCGACGCTTGATACATACATTCACACACACATGCCGTCTCACACATACGCACACCTAAGGGAGACTGCTTGCTTGCCACAGAGTGACGTTTATCCAGGGAGAAGTCTAAGACACGGAGAGACAGCCGCAGACGCACCGTTGAAAAAGCAGCAAACACAGTGATGGGGGGAAAATGAAGAGAGGAGGAAAAGAGGGGCGTGATAGCGGACAGACAGATCAGGAAGGTGCAAAGTACCTGTTTTGCGTAGGATACGTGGCTTGGATGGGAAAGGAGGAAGCCGACAGTGAAGCACAGCAGATGAACGGCAATAGACAGGCAAACTGCCATGATGGAAATCTTTTCGTCAACTTCTCCCACTGAGCGCAAACAGACAAATCCACACATATCCCTATATGCACACATTCAGCGTAGAAATCCTCGTTAGTCAGTGGCCATGTCTGTACAGACAGTGCGTGCAACTTGCACAGCCCACGCTGCCGCTTGGCGAAACTGCACCCCGCATCACACGCACCTTCTTTGAGATCTCCGAACCTGTCATAGAAACTCTTTCGGATGTCATGAGTCAGAACTTCCTGCGCCTTCTTTAAGTCCATGAAATATTCTTCAGGAGTAGACGATCCAGCGAGTGGAGGCATTAAGCCCGAGGCGGCAACCCTGTCGGGGTGGTATTTCTTGGAAACGTTTCGGTACCCCTAAAAAGGCAGTGGCATGCAAATCTCTCGAGCCCCTTCGTCACTCCTTCACACGTCAATAATCAACAACGCTCGAGTATGGCAGAAGAATAGAGGGGGGATAGAGGCACCGAGAGAGTCAACGATGGAGCCGCGGCGACTCTCAGAACCTCCTGCCATGGGAACGGCCGTTTCGCTCTTATTTGCAGACCTACTTGGAGAATATCGTTTTTACTCGCGTGAATGCCAACTTCCAACATCGCGTAGAAATTCACACGCGGTGTAGCAACAGGCAGATACGCCAAGTACATAAGCACCGCGCTCAATACTGAAATCGGCGAAAAAGCACAGATGCCAGAACGAAGACACGTCATGATGCGAGACGTGCTTTTTGAAAAACTCCCTCCCCCCTTGCAACCCCGTCTCGGCGTATGATGAGCAGTGAATCTCAGGGTGTGTGTGCCCCCATCTCTGCGGGGGGATTTCTGTAGGATCCTTTTTTCAGCGTGCAAGAGGGGAAGACCTCTTGAGGCTTTCCCTAAACCCTTGAACGGAGAAGGGGGGGGAAGGGGGGCTCCTTAACGCGCGCCATGTCCAACGCCTCGCTAGAAAGGATCTTTTAGTCGTGTTGCGTTCACAGCTTCGAGGAGCAGGCGAGACGCACCCGAAGAAGGAAATCGCACTGGTGTCTGCTGGTAATACGTGTAAAACAGAAACGAAAACTCACTTGGCTTGCGGAGGTACGACAGCCATTTTCTTTGTTGCTGAGGCAACAGCTGAGACACCCGCGGGGAGAGAAGCACAACTGTTAAGGCTCCATACAGCACCGACTGCTGTAGGATCTCGTCCGCTGACCCCAACATTTTTGCGGCTGCAACTTTCTCCTTCCTTCCTCGGAGTTTTGCGATGTTGTTGCTCTGCAAAGCCTATTTCTCTGTCACTGCATGGGGGCAAAACGCCACACGGGGGCACTCTGCCTCTGGCAGCCGTGGGAGGAGGAAGAGGCACCGGCTGTCTGCCCCTGTGAACGCGCCGTTGCGTCCGGTAGCTGGGAGATACGTGCGTACAAATGCGCTCAAACCTGCTGCTGAGGAGCTGCTGCTGCTGGTGTGGAAGCTAGAGAGACATTACGCGCTGAGACTCAGGACTAGCCGCGTGGCAGCAGCAGGTTCCTAAGAGCCCTCTTGCCTGCTGCAGCTGCCACAGAGTCAGGAGGAGGTGGCGCAGAGAAATACAAAAAGAAGAGGGCTGCGGCACAGAAAGCGAACCCTGCAGGACGGCTGCAACCATCAGCAGCAAAAGACAGCGCCTTCTGCCGATCATCGTCGTGCTGCACAGCCAGCAGCAGCAGCAGCAGCAGTTGGTGTTGCTGCTGAAGGGAGGAGCAGAAGCGTGGTGTTGCAGCCGCCATGATGGAAGCCACCAATCGCGGCTTAGAAGATCCGCACCGTCTCTTTCCTTTCGGCTTACTAAATACGTCGGAAACGCTTTGTTCTAAATACGCATTTTATCGAAGGATTACACGCAGCAGGGGCCCTCGAGAAACGCCACTGCTAGAGCTCCCAAGGCTTCCCTGCTAGACCATAGGCTGTGTGGGCAGCTTCCTCTCCCGTGTTGCTGCTGCTGCTGCTGCTGCTGCTGCTGCTGCTGTTGCTGCTGCTGCGGAGCCTGCTTCTTCTGCTCCAGTGAGAGAATCTAGAACTGGGGAGGCAAAGTCAATATTATTCATTCTTTTCTGCGGCTTCGCCAAGCACATCCTGCTGCTTCTGCAGATCGCAACTGCCCGTTTGTGATTCTTCTTGGTGCGCGCGCGTTGCTCTGAGCCAACCCACAGCCTAGCCCCCTCCGCATCCTGCTGTTTTCTGCCGCTACACTGAACATTCTTTCGCTGTCTACGCCTAATTTTACGCTTTTCGCATTGCTTGCTGGCTGCTGTCTCCTGAACTCCCTTGTCCTATTGCGCAGCCCCTTGCGCGCATTCCCCCTGCTGGTCGCACGGCGCTTCCCGTAGCGTCGCGCTTTCAACGGCTCAAGACGCGCGGTTAATTTTTAGAATTTAGGATTTGTGTTTTCTTTCAGTGATGATGGCAGACGCCTCCCTCGAAACGAACGGAGCCTCCGAGTCTCTGGCGCAAGAGGCGGCGGCTGGTGCAGCTGCGGCTGCAGGAGCTGTTGCTGCATCAGCTGGGGGTGTACCCACTGGCGGTCCAGTGGGAGAGAAAATTCCGCCTTCCGTGGAAATAAAGTTATTTATTGGTCGAGTTCCCCAATCAATGGACGAGGATGGTCTTAGGCCGGTCTTCGAGGAGTTCGGGGAAGTGCGCGAGGTCATCATCATCCGCGATAAGGCGACGGGAAAGCACAAGAATAGCGCTTTCATCAAAATGGGTGCGTCTTCTCGGCTTTTGCATGGGCAGGGGACGCGCGTAGTGCACGTGCTTCTGGCTTCCTGTGTCTTCTTTGGATGTCTTGTGGAAGATCGATCCGTTGTTCATCTTCTCCCATCAACACACGCACGCACAGACATATTCCCATTAACACACTAACACACACACAGATATATTCCCATTAACACACACACGCACAGATATATATACCCATCGAGGGGAGCCTGCTTTCTCTTCTCACTTTTATGTGGGCTTTCTGATGGTTGTGAGTGGGCGTCGACGTGATCCATAGCCGCATGGGGGTGCTCGCAGAAGGGGGGGGAGGGTGAAATGTTGTGATGTTCTTTGAAACATGCCTCCCTGCTCTCGGATTTCCCCTATTCGGTGTCTTGTGCGTCTCTTCGCCTGTGAATCTATATACGGATATCTTTCTCTCGTTCCCTCTCTTTGTATATGGGTAGCGGCGCCTTCGGTGCCTTGGGCCCTCATGATGACCCCTGGTGTACAGACACCCGCGTGACAAGCGCTTTTTCCTGTGCATGTGCAAATGGGTTTGGGGATGACTGTATCTGCTGATTCTGTCTGTATGTCATGTGCAGCCTCCATTGCCGGAGCCGATTCGGCGATCAAGGGTCTTCACAACATCCGCGTGTTGGACTCTTCAATGGGTGCAATTTCAGTTAAATACGCCACTGGCGAGGCTGAGAGGCTTGGGCTTAGTCCCCAGGTGTGTTCTTGCAAAGCTTGCCGTCCTGCAGCCGCTGCTGCTGCTGCATGCCATGACTGGCATGCAGCAGCAGACAGCACACACGTTCTGCTGGTGTTTCACGAGAGACACCGCCTCGTTCCTCGCCTCTTCCGGCGCTTTCTAGACCTGACCTCCTTGCTCGATTCTTTCCTTCACTGCTCGTGCGCGTTTTTGCAGGCTTGCGAGCCTGGCGTGCCGCAAGCGAAGCTCTTCGTCGGCAGCCTCCCACGCACATTGAAGGATGAGGAGCTGAAGGCGTTCTTCCAGGATTATGGGCAGGTAAGGGAGGACGCGGGGAAGGATGATGGAGGGATCGATAGGTACACGCTGCATCTGGGGGGGCAAGGGGGGCTTGTTTTCACCCCGAAGCGAGACAGAGACAGAGATAGAGATAGAGATAGACACACAGAGACAGAGATAGAGAGAGACACACAGACAGAGACAGAGATAGAGAGAGAAAAAAACGGCGCTGATGGCTTGGAGGGTGGTTGGTGGGTGGGGTGGCCTTTTGGAGTGTTCTTCAGAAGCGCTGTAAAGAGACAGTGGGGGAACAGGCGTAGGATCAGGGTAGAGGCGCGAGACGCACGCAAGTTGCAACAGAAAGACGCCCTTTTGCCGCGCAATCTGCGGATTCGGCTCCCTTGCAGGTCGAGGAAATCTTCATCATGAAGGACAGTACAACTGGCACCGGCCGTGGCTGTGCTTTCGTCAAGATGGGGCAGAAGGAGGAGGCGTTGTTCGCCATCAATTCTTTGAATGGCAAGCACGTCTGGACTGGGTGCCCTCGTCCAATGGAAGTGCGCTTCGCGGAGAGTAGGGCTCAAAGGCAGCAAATGAGTGAGAAGCGTGTTTTTCAAAGGGCAGGCAGCGTGGGGTGTATCGACGGAGGGCAGTTTTTTCCTGCAGACGACGTCGTGAGGGTGTGACACATGGATTTTTTTCCTGTTTTTTGGGCAGGGCGTTTGAGCTGTGTCGCGGAAGCGTGTTTTCGATGTGTCGCGTGGCGTTTGTATGTCTTTTATGCAGAGACCCCGCCTGTACATGTATGCATATATAGGGTGTCTGATGAGTCATGCGGTGTACATGCATACATATATGTATATATATGTATATATATGTATATATATGTGTATATGTGTACGTATGCGGATTTGGTGCGTGCAGTGAACAACAACATGGGCATGGGTGGCATGGGCATGGCGGCTCGCAGTGGTGGCATGGGAGGGGGCCCCATGGGGGGGGGGGTTCCTCGGAGCGGTGTTATGGGGGGGGGCCCCATGGGAGGGGCCCCTCGGATGTCTCCGGGTATGGGAGGCGGCTCCCCCATGCCTCCCAGCAACGCGAATCCGCGAGCCGCTGGACCGTGGAAGGAATATTTTTCCCCCGAGGGTCGGCCGTACTATCACAACGAAATGACGGGTGTCACGACGTGGGAAAGGCCTCTCGAATTCATGCAGGCCCCCCCCCCGGGGCCCCCCGGCACCACCCCGGGCTACGGAGGGGGTGGCCACATGGGGGCCCCCTCTGGCTTCGGGGGCATGACGCAAGGAGGGGGCCCCCAGGGTGGCTGTATGGATGACGGGGCAGGAGGGGCCCCTGGCTCCAGAGATCAGAATGGTGAGTGTGTAGAGGAGAGGGCCGCTAGGGGAGGCTTCTAGGATTTGGGTAGTAGCAGGAAGTAGTAGTAGTAGTAGGAAGTAGTAGTTGTAGTAGGAAGTAGTAGTTGTAGTAGGAAGTAGTAGTTGTAGTAGGAAGTAGTAGAAGTGGTAATTTTTTGTTATTTGGGGGGGTCGGATGGGAGAACGAGAGACACGCAGAAGGTAGAAAGAAAAAGAGAGAGAGAGATGCAGCCCTCCAAGATGAGAAAGACAGATAGAGAGATTGACAAAGGAACGGAGGGCAATTGTGTGCCGGTATGATTCGGTTCTTATTGTGTGTGTTTGTGCTTTTATGAGTACGGTGTGCTACGCAATTCGCTGTATATATATATGTTTGTTTGTATTTTTAATGGGGTCTCTTGTGTGTTGGTGTGTCTGCCTGTTTGCTTTTTGTAGGACCTCCCGGGGCGAATATATTTGTTTTCCACGTGCCGAATGAGTGGAATTACTGTGATCTTCTGAACGCGTTCTCGCAGTTTGGTAATGTTCTTTCGGCGCGAGTTGCAATGGACAAACAGAGCGGCAGAAACAAGGGGTACGGATTTGTTTCTTACGACACGCCTGAGGCTGCCGCTGCTGCGGTGGCTGCGATGAATGGTTTCTTAGCTGGGGGAAAGCGGCTGAAAGTTACTATCAAGAAGGGCGAAGAGCAGCACGCAGTGCGACCTTCGCCAATGGGATTCAATCAAGGCGGGGGTATGCCGCCTGCGGGGGCCCCTCACCAAGGGGGCCCCCGTGACGGGCAGTGGGGTGGTGCTTACAACCCTCAGACTGCTGCTGGCGGATACGGCCAGAGTCAGGGAGGCTTTGGAGGCGCTGGTGCTCAGCAGCAACAGCGGTTCGCGCCGTATTGAGCAGCAGAATCAGCAGTTGCAGCAGTAGCAGTTGCAGCTAACAGCGACGAGGGCGGGAGGCTGCTGTTGTGCCGCCTTGTGGTGGCTCGCAAGGAAGAAATGTGTGTAAATAAGGGAACGAGGGGGGTGGCTGCAGAGAGTTTCGGGGGACGGAAGGAGGCAGGGGGGGAGGAGGAGGAGAGCTGTGGCAGCGAACCCTGTTGAGATAACATTGATAAATATGTAATTGAGAGAGGATGACGGTTGGTCGTGCGTTCTGCGGCTGATATCGACGCGGTTTCTTGATGGGAAAGGATGTGCGTGGACGTCGAATCTCCAGAAGACGGAGATCGTTCTTCTGGTGTCTCTCTCGGCGACTTGCGAGGAGGAGGAGGTGAGAGCGCGAGTGCCTGCGTGTGCTGAATATAGAACGGCAGGAGCAGGATTTACACCGCGTCGAGAAGCGGTGGTCTCTAAGATGGCGATTCGAAAGCTTGAGGGAGGCAGTGTTGACACATGCTGTGCAAGCCCTTATGCTGTTGTAGTTATCGCTGATGCTGCCGTCTTGTTTGTTCCCTATGCTTGTGTTCTTTGCGCCTTTCGATGTGTGGGGAGGTGTGTACTTGGGGTGTACATACACTATACACCGTGCGTGTTTTTCCCCGGCGCCGCGTGTGGGCGAACAAGTGGATATTATTGCAGTCTGGCTTATTTTCGTTCTATTCTTTTGATTGGCGCTTCTTTCTTGTCAGTACATTTGGTACCTCGCTGTAGTGATAGTTTCCATAGTTTTGCTTCATTATTGTTGCCATATTGCAGTTGTATCTGGAAGCCGTCGCGGTCCAAAGGGGTTTAGAGATGCCATATTGGGGTGTACACGACGGCGAAGCAAACATGCACGCGTACGTACTACATACATATACCGCGTGTCCACATGATACTGGTTATTATAGTGCCTAGTTATTATTACGACGGTCCTTCCCTTTTCTCAGTTCTATCATTCCGTATTTGTCTCAGTAGTTGAATATTGTGCGCTCCACGAACGAGGAGCCTGCGGTGTATCTATACCCACCTCCGTATATACTACTTCGTCACTCTCGCTCGCCTTGCCTGCTACTGCTGATATGGCGTCTCGTAACCATCGTCGTCAGTACATCAATATCCGCATATTAAGCGCATCCTGTTGCAAGTCTATGACTGCATTCGTTCGACAAATACAAAATCGTTTCGAGGTGTTCGTGGAGGGCAGGATATCGGAATGGTGGATCTCGTAACATGGCGCTGTCTCACTGTCCATCTATCGAATATTCCAATTGAGAGCAGTACTCACGCAAAAGGACACTGTGCGAATGCAATACGAAAAAGTGCTACACGTGCACATATAACGAGGTGTTGTATGCACACATGATACAGCACCCTCTCCTAACTCGGAGGTCAATTACGCTCTCTGCATGTATGATGCATCGGAGCATGCCACTGCTTACGCCGGAAGGTGTGCGCATACGTACTTCCATGCGGCCGTTGACGTTGCTGAGTCTATATTGGAGTCGCTGCTTGTAGATCAATTGGCTCCCTCCCCAGCGATGCCGAGTTCTCAACACAGGCTCTATGAGCGGCCGAGTGGAAGAGCATATGTTGCTCGTTGTAGCCGTCGTAACGTATGCGCATTAATCCCCCTATTCCTTCCTCCTCCTTGCTGCTTCCTTGCTCTTATTCGCCTGTTGCTCTAGGATTCTCGGTGTGTCGCGCGAGCGGGGGCAATTGCTCTCGCGCGGTTGCTCCCATGTAGGGATATACATTTTTTCGTATATACATGTGCTCCAAGGGTGTGCTTCGTGCATGCGTGTCCACCCGCAGTGCAGTAGCTGTTTGGTGGGGTTGAAGCTTGTTCAGTCTGTAGTTGTCACCTGCGCACGTCTGATTTCCGTTTTTCGCCTTTATGGTAATCGGCTGCATGTTGAAAAACGATGTTGCAGCCGAAGTGCGGCGCTGCACGAACAGGTAAGGGCATCCGCTGTTGGCTGTAGTTTCTGTAACGCTCGAGGCGTTGCATTGGCCATCCGCGCGCACGAATTTCGGGTTTAGTCAATTTGCAGTAGTAGTTGGTCTGCGTGGTGTAGTGTGTGCCGGCTGCTCTCGTTGCTGTCTTCTGATTACTGTTTCCCGTCGAAAGTGACAACCTTATTCCTCGACAGATTCCCTACGGCCTGTGTTGGTGTTCTCGTTATCCGCTTTTTCTCATAACGCAGCGCTTTTTAGGTGGTACTGAGCTTTAGAGCATTATCACATGCCTTGGTTCATTAGGACGCTAGGTTTTTTTTCTGTATCACAGGGTAAGCTGGGGGGCGGGGGGTATATACGCATGTATAAAGTTGCGGGTGGGCCCCCGCTTTTTCATAGCTTGAAATGCGCAAAAGTGGATCTATCTTGCCGCTGCCGCAAGTCACCTCCTGTTCGCGCTGACCTCACCTTGCCTTGATCTGTCGCCTCTCTGTTGCCCGCTCGAGTCTGTCTAGCCAGTGGAGGCTTGCGTGGTCTGCCTGCTGTTGGCTAAGGGACAGAAGGTAACAGAGAGGGAGGACTTGAGAAGAGGGAGGAGGCACAGAGCAAGAGGAGGTCGCATGCTCGTTCCTCCTGATGTGGGTGTTTTTAAAAAGTGCGGCGGCCGGTTTGGCCAAGCGTCCTTTATTGCATCGATCCCGCAACTTTTTTCCTCCATAAAAAAGATCGCCACCACGTGTGGTAGATGAGTAGAAAGCAGGCTGGTAGGAAGCGGGGCGCAGCACATTGTTAGGATCGACTCTTGAGAGGGTTGCCTGTAGCGTGTTAAAGTGGTGGCAGGGGGAGGCTTGCGTGTTATTCGAGCCTGCAGGGAGGTTGGGGGTGTTTAAGGCGTTTCGAGGCACCCGTGCAATTGATGCAGCGCGGGCTGTATGCATGCAGAGGGAAGAAAGAGAAAGAAACTAGGAAAAAGCGTCAGGGGAGATGCAGCGTAGGCTGTATGCGTACAGAGGGAAGAAGGAGAAAGAAACTAGGAACAAGCGTCAGGGGAGATGCAGCGTAGGCTGTATGCATACAGAGGGAAGAAAGAGAAAGAAACTAGGAAAAAGCGTCAGGGGAGATGCAGCGTAGGCTGTATGCGTACAGAGGGAAGAAAGAGAAAGAAACTAGGAAAAAGCGTCAGGGGAGATGCAGCGTAGGCTGTATGCGTACAGAGGGAAGAAGGAGAAAGAAACTAGGAACAAGCGTCGGGGGAGGGGCCCGTACACTAGAGCAAGGGTTTGAATAGGAGCGCAGACGAAGCAGCAGCTTGCAGATCGCGACATGTCTGAGCCAAGTTTCCTTCTGTGACTGAACATTTTCTTTTTAAAAAAAAGACCACGGGCCGCAGTTCAGCACACGGAGCACCGCCAAGAATTTGGACGTCCTCGAGACGCCGCAAAAACGAAGGCTTTCTGTCATCTTCCGACGAACGCGGCACGCAAGTGTTGGATACGTATGTACAGGCGCTGCCGCGTGGCAGGCATACTGGCCACCAGGGCAGAAGGCAGGTTTCCTCACACGACAAAAGGTGGATGCTAATGGAGAGTGCCTCAGTGGTACTGTCTTGCGCGATTCTTTTGCATGCCGAAAGGTGGATGCTAATGGAGAGTGCCTCAGTGGTACTGTCTTGCGCGATTCTTTTGCACGACGAAAGGTGGATGCTAATGGAGAGTGCCTCAGTGGTACTGTCTTGCGCGATTCTTTTGCATGCTCTCCCACAGACTGCTGAATCCACTGCTCGCGCCCACTGCCCTCGCGAAAGGGTCATACAGGCAAGAAGAAGGGCGCTCAAAGGTATTCGCATTCAGCAGAGGATCCGACACTGGGTACACACTCTGGGGGAGCCTCAAAGGCTGCCCAGCGAAAGCCGCAGCTTGGCCTTGTGCAGGCTGCGCCTTAAGAACCTCGTACATTTGTTCCTGCCCTAACCCTTGGTTGGATTTGAAGCGCACTGTGTAGGCTTGAGGCTCTCCCATTTGGCCTTCCCCTGGATCTGCGGAATCGCTGGAACTGCCTCCAACGCTTCGCGTCTCGTGAGTTGACAGAGGGAGCTTAGCTGTGTATGTTGGAGTGCCCACCGACCACTCAAGAGAGCCTCCCGCAAGGGTTGGGGTTAGGAAGTCTGGTCTCAGGAGTTCTTCCTGCTGCAGCCAGAGGCTCCACAGGCCCTCGAAGTTTGCAGAGGCCCCTGGGTACTCCGCGAGTGGCACAAGAGGAACGGGGGCCCCCCCCTTGGACCGCAGCTCCTTCTTCTGCGACGGGGGGGGGGGCCCCTTTGAAGAAGCGCCCGCGCCCTTGATGGCCGGTCTCGCATCCGTTGCGGGAGCCACGGAAGCCGGAGGGGCCCCCCCAAAAACTAGCGCTGGCTTTTTCTTTTCTGCTTTTCCGTTCGCAGTTCGGTTCGCCTCCGATGGGCGTGCCTTCGACTCGCTGGTGTCGCGAGGAACCCGCTGGGGAGTAAGGTCGGGCAGCTGGTGAAGTGGCTCCTGAGGATACTGCGGCTGCTGAGGGGGCCCCTGCTGCTGCCGAGACTGCACAGCGTTGTCGATGCTGGAATCCCGCCGGCTCTTCTGCGGAGGGGCCATCCAGGGTACATTCTGAGTCTCTTTCAATATATTTTCCACTGCGTGGGGCGTCCTCGGAGGCTCCTTCTCACCGTCTTCCACTACCCCCCGCTCTTCAGCTCGCTTATCATCCTTTCCAGGCCCGAACAAGGGGACGGGAAGAAAAGGAGCCCACCACGCGTTGCCATCCTCGTCAGAAGACTCTCCATCCTCCTCGGAGGGGCCTCCGTCGTCCTCCGAGGGCCCCTCAGCCACCCTGAGGGAATAACCCCCCGTGGAGGGGGCAGGGGGCCCCTTCGCACCACGGGGAGCGGTGGTAGCCTTGTAAGAGGAAGCTTTCGAAGCGGCCTCTGGAGGCACCAGAGGAACGGCGAGGCTAAGGGAATGTGCCGAGGGAGACGGCGGTGCGGAGGGACCCCTCGGGTGTGTCTCGAAGAAGGCCTTTTTCGTCTTTTGCAGTCCCCTGGCACTCGTCAACTTCTGAGATCCTGCGCTTGGGGTTCCCGGAGAGCAAGGGGGCTTGTGGCAGCTCTCCACCTCCGAGAGATTCTCCGCGGTGGTATTCAGCTGGCGAAGCTCTTCGGGAGAAAGCCTGGGCACTGTGTCGTGCGCATGGCGGTTCGTTACTTTGGAGAGGTCCAACGGCTTCGATCCCACCGCCTTCAGCGTTTCTGCCCTGATCGAAAGCCCTTCGGGCTTACCCTCTAAAGGCGGCATACGTGGCGCTCGCTTCTCCTTGGCAGCCTTATCCAGCGTGCTCAATGCTTGCGCTTTTCCCGGCTTCGTGACACATTGACCACCTTTTGCGTGCGCCGCTCCACTGCTCTGGAGCAGTCCGCCGTCATCCACTTGTTCGGAAAGCTCCTCCCGCCCCTTTGCACGAGAAGATTGAAGCCTCCCTCCTCCCCCTCTTCCCCTTCGAGTGACTGTGGGACGTCCAGTGACTGCAAACGCCTGAGCTGCCTCCGTCATGACTTCTCTTTGCAGCTGCGAGGAGGTCCGTTTGAGGCTGTATCGGTTTTGTGCTGCTGCACTGGCGGGAACCCTCAGCCTTTCGTTGTCAGCAGCCATAATGCGGTCCGAAGCAGAAGAGGGGACCCCCCATGCCTCCCCTGCATGGCCTCCTCTGACGTCAGAGCTCAAAGGACTGTGCAGAGGCTTCCCCACAATGACTTTGTACAAACCGTCGAGGGTTCTGTCCACCAAATCCAGATTCTCCGGCATGTCAGCAGAAGGGAGGCGCACCAAGTTGCGCTCTCTCCTCTGCGGGGGGGGCCTCCCATACTTCGCCCATGCAGTATCGAGCAGCTTCTTTTTGACTGGGGGAGGCTTGAAAGAAAGAGGATCAATTATGGGGATGGTGGACGAAGATCTTCTCCCCTTGGTACTCTTTCGCCTGGCAAGAGCTTCGCTTTTATGTCTCCTCGACGCTCCGCTGTACCCGGAAAGCCCTCGAGAAATAAGGGCCTGCCCACTGTCTCGACCACGATTCCTCGCATCCGTCTCCGCAGCCAACTCCTGCCTTTGCCTCCCCTCCGCTGCTGGACGGTATTCAGATATTGCGGTGTGCTTCTGCGGGAACATCGCTTCATTTGCCTAAAACGCACAGAAGACGACACCACAGACAGACAACCAGAACCTAGCTTCCTAAACAAACGGCGATTTACGGTGGCTCTATCCACAGGATTGAAGGGATAAAAGCTCCTGAAGCTATTTCTCCATGCATATAATATGAATGTCTGTGTGTATATATGTAAGTATGTATGTATGGGTGTGAATGTGTGTATATGTATGTGTATACATGGATGTGTACACATGTATGTGTATCCATGCATGTGTATACATGCATGTGTATGTGTGTGTGTCTATATGTGTATATACATGGACATATATATGTGTGTGTGCGAGTCAACTGCCTTCTTGTGTTTAAGGCCCCGATCCATCAGAGGCTTCATTTCGCCTTCTTCCAATGCTTCTCTATCTTAAAGTTGCAGTCCATTATACAGACAGACTCTTTCAATCCCTGTTCTCTCTTCTTTCTCTTGCTGCTTGCTTTTACCTGACCTCAATCCCTTCAGGTGCGACCCCTGGCGCCCTCTCTCTCCCGTCCTCCCCGTCCCCCTATTCTCAAACCTTTTCTTTTCCAGTAATGCCTTATGTTTCCTATGGCTTTAGACTACTGTGTCCTTGCCCTCCCCCCTACGTGCCTCTCACTGTTGCGCCCCCTACTAAATCCCCTATTTATCGTTGTACCTATACCCCGAAGGCTGCATTTTGAAAACGTAGGCAAACGTGGAAATATAGAAATCCGTATCGCAGGTGTACTCCAAGTACCCTTCTACCCAGTCCCATCTCCTTTTTCCCACTGCCCACAATACAATTCCTTCCACTTCACCCTTCTGCGACACTCCCCTCTTTGTATGCCTCGGTCTGTTTGCCTTGCTGCTTAGGACTCTGTGGCTGCATTTCGGTTTTTTCTGCCACCTCGCGCTCTCTCACGAAGGCTGACTCACTTGGTTGAACGCACCTCGCTCAGATTTTTCAGGAAGAAACAGAAAGCTGATCCCTTTCTTAGCTCCCTCCGGCCCCTTTCTAAAGCCTACGCAAGACAGTGCGCCGAGGGCAAGAGCCCAAAACACTTAGTCAGTGAGCACCCCACGCCTCCTCGTGTGTGCTAGCTGTACCCGCGAAATTGCAAAAAACACTTGGAAGCGCTGGCAGGGAGTGCTACAGAGGACTGGAGGAAGACAGGGGAGTTGCAGAGAAAAAGGAAAAAGACGATTGCACTGACCTTGTTTTTCTTTGTCTGCAAACTGAAACCAAACACCGGGGGTCCTCTGGCCCTTGACTTTGTGGGGGCCTGGCTGGAGGAGTGCCAAGGCGCTTTCTTTCTGCACTTTAGATCCGTGCTGCTTCAAGGCAACCTCATTCAGACGATCGTTTGGCTTGCGGGGAATGGGTTTGTCATGGCGGCGTCCGCGCCTAAGAAACAGAGAGACAGACAGAATCAGATAGCCACGTGCGAGAAAACACCGAGCGGGAAGGCAACTGGGGAAGCATGCATGGACTTGCACGCATGCATGAGAGGATGTATGCGTGTGTGTGTACATGAACGCACACACACATAGACGCCACATGCATGTACATGTGCATGCGGACGGCTGTGTTCAGGCCCCGTCAAAAGCGTGCAGGGAGGACAAAAACGATAGTGGCAAAACCATGGGGGTCCAAGAGGGGTGGGTGGGGGTGCTGTAGAAGGAGGGAGAAGAGGCGAGGGAGAAGAGGCGCGACCGCTCTTCTTCCACTTTCTGGCGTCAAACGTACACGTCTTTTCCTTCCTTCTTTTCAAAGGACAGGAGATCCTTCACAATTGCGCTTGGCAGCCTCTTCTCTGGTGAGGCGGACTCCCCGGAGAGAAATGAGGCAGCGCTGCCAGCAGAGACACTTCTCTCGCGCCTTGCAGGGCCTCTTTCCCTGCCGCGATCGCGGCGGGAGTCTCTTTGATGGTGTTCCCTTGGACTGTTTTTATGAGGCTCTGTAATTGCCTGAGCCACGATGGCGTTGCCTGCAGGGAGGAAGGAAGAAATACAAAGGGTAAGAGGGGGGTGTAACAGCCGGTTGTGGCAGTTCAGCAGTGGGAAGGCAGGCCTCTTCTTGGGAACAAGCAACACTAAAGGAACCGCGGAGGGGGAGAGAAGGAGGGGGAGGAGACAGACGCCGATAGCGAGAAAAAGGCCACTACATGCAGCTGGATGGAGCTCTACATATCTAGCTTATTTAGGGATCAAGCGGTCGAATGGAAAAGGGCGCGGGAATGCGCTAGGGAAGCACAACAACAACAGCAGCAGCAGCACCGGCGAGTACGAAAGTGCCCAACGGCGCTCCCTCCAAAGGCAGCAATGCATAGATTCTGATCAATCTGGCATTTGAGAGTGTGTAAGTGTATATATATGTATGTATGTGCTTGTTTGTTTGTTTGAACGCGAGAATAATAGCTGTATGCGTTTGGCGCTGGACTCTTCCAGGCGTGATACTTTGTGTTTTGTCTCCGCCCTACCCAGGAGCCTGATTTCATAGGGAGACGGCTGCAAAACAGCGTTGGCGGTGGGAAGCGCGGAAACGCTGCGCCCTTGATCGCCGACTGTAACTCTTAGCTGATCTGCGGGTGTTTTCTGCTCATAGAGAAAGAGCAAGCGCCAAAGACCATCCGAAGTGCAACCAAGCATCACAGCGTTCCACACAGCTAAGAGCATGCGAAGGAGAGAAGGTGTACAGACACCCCAAGGAGGGAGGCGCTGAGCCGCACCGTGTGAGTTTTGGCGGGGTGACCAACAGTCACGATGCGGCGTCCTCCCATCTTTGTGGTGATTAGGAGGGTTTGGGAGTGAGGCTCTTTGCCTATAGGACCTGAGAGGCCGTTGAATACTCCCGTTGCATGCGGCAGCGCGCCTGAGGTGCCTTGAGCTTCACAGTCTCCCTCTGAAGAAGGGACTGCAGCACAAGTGTCGGGAGGCCCTTCCCCTAGTGGGTTGCTGCAGATGAGTTGCAGTCTGTGCATTAAGATCTGAATCGTCGCCTCCTTCTTCGCGGTATCACGCCGTCCGCTCTTTCTGCCTGCTGCGCTGGCAAGCGCCTTGCTCGCTTCTCGCTTTAGAAGCACCAGACCTTCCTGCCGACGCGCGAATACAGGGGATACGAGGAGGTCTCTGATTTCGCCAACGGTAGGCTTGCCTTTGTAGAAGGAGGGCCCCCTCAACGCGGGAAAAAATGCGTTTGAAGAGGTTCTCCGCAAGGTGCTAGGAGCTGTTGAGCAATCGCTCATGGCTCCTAACTGCCCTGTCTCCTCCTCAAGGCGCGCAGCAGCCTCGCGGACCTGACGCAAAAAGAGGGCCTTATTCGCAAAATGTACCGAGTTAAGAACCAGTGGAGGAACGGAAGAGAGGAAAACAAAAGAAGAAACATATCATCAGTTGAAACAGCACATGCACAGGCACCAGAAGCGCAGCGCCACTCCCCTTTTGGTCAAGCGCAAGTGCAAGTATGCGTGTAGAGAGTAGGTACATCGAGGAGGATCTCTGTCTGCCTCCCTTCCTATATATGTCTATACATATAATATATATATAGGCATGTATACATAAGTACATATGTACATGAGTGTCGCACGAGACAAGAAGAGGCGACAATAAGCCTTATATATATGTACATAAAGAAAGAGAGAAAGAGCGAGAGAGAGAGAGAGAGTGAGAGAGAGATCAAGAGTAGGAAAAGCGCGCAACTCATGGAGGCGGGGGGTTTTTATCCACCTGGAGTGACAACCCCTGTATTATACAACAGAGCTCCTACCGCCTTCGTGGCTTCTTTAAAGCTAGCTTGAACGGCTTCTTCGAGGCTCCTTGACGTTTCCGTCGCTGTCTTCTGGCAACGCCCCTGCTGCTGTTGCAGCACCTCATTCGCAGCAGCAGCACATTGCGTATCTCCCAACTCCTTGAAGGCACGAGCGGCCGCGCAGAGGGACGAGCGAAGAATCGCTTCCGCTGTTTTATCCAAAGCTGTTGTTGCCTGCAAAAGACGAAAGCCAAGCGAAATATATGGAGAGCGCCGTCGTATCTGTCTTTGAGGTGGTTTGTGCTACCGGGGAGTGTGTGTGTGTGAGAGAGAGCCTCTGTGAAGGGCTTCCGTGATCACCAAGTCTGCGATGTTTCTTGTACTGTCGTCCAAAGCAAGAGACCTCTTTCAACCTGTTCGTTAGACTTATTCGCCCCCACGTGCTTGTACTGCCCTCCCCTTATACCCTCGTGCCTCTAGCAGACGACCAGCTTCTATAGGACCGTCTGTCTGTCTGTCTGTCTGTCTGTCTGTCTCTGCACTGTCTGTCTCTGCACTGTCTGTCTCTGCACTGTCTGTCTCTGCACTGTCTCTGTGTCTGCACTGTCTGTCTCTGCACTGTCTCTGTGTCTTTGCGGTCTCCTTCTTTGCAGCTCACCCTTTGCAGGCATTTGTTGCCTACAGCATCCGGAGCCTGCGCATTTTCCCGCTTATTCTCTTGCTCCTTCAAGGACTGTTTGACGACTTCCAGAGCGCCGATAGCAGCCTCTCTCAGCTCCTGCTTCTTCCGATCCTTTGCGTCTACAGCGGCGGTTGCCTGCTGGGCTGCCCCTAGGAATATCTGCCTTTCACGAGGCTGTAGCCGTCCAAGAGGCTCCAGCACTTTCATAAGTTCCTTGAGGCTTCCTGGCTTTTCGGTAGTCTGCGCAGACGGCTCTTCCTCTCCGGCTTGCCTAGAACGTGCGCCAGGAGCTTGTGCGGAGGGTGGCTTTCCCAAAAGAACGCACGACGGTCCTGACTGGAAAGCCTTGAGATCTTGCAGTTGCTTGAGCAGTTCAGTCTGCTGCTTGCTTTGCTCTTCTAGTTGGTGCTGCAGCGTCTTGATCTGCAGAGCCTTCTGCCGCACGTCCTCCGCTTCCTTGGCGTGATTGTTTGCGGTTGCCTCTTCCAGGCGACTCAGAGCTTCCTGCATCATGGCCGTTCTCTCGTTCTCCGCCTGCTTCAACGAGGCGCTAAGCGCCACTGCTTCCGCCCGGGAG